GATGCCACCGATGCAGCATAAACCAGGCGAGCTGGGCCCTGCTGAGGAGCAGAGATTGAAAAGGGTTTACAGTTGGCTGAATAATAATCCCTCCCTTCAGCCCAGGAGGAGAACACACAAAAACATCAAATTATTGCATAAAAGAATGTCTTCCCTCTCCTGCTGAAAGCTGGAGAGCAGGGAAGGAAGTGCTCAAGCAACATGAACTCTTTTTTTCCCTTTGTTAACGACGAAGGTATAAAAATCTTACCAAAAGAGAATTAAATACCTGGTTGGGCTCATTCAACAACCAGCCAAAGGTTTTGATCCCAAAGGCAGCTTCATGGGCAGACACATCCAGACAGGTGACAGGCTGGCCATAGACAGAGTGCAGGATTTTGCCAGGATCTTCTGCTTTCAGGAGATACACAATGTCCTCTGCAGCTGCCACTGCCACTGGGCTCCCCGTAACATCTGGAACCAGATTAAGGAAGCTGACCTGAAAAGAGCAGACTTTTTATTTTTAATACATCACAAATTCTTCTATATTATCACTGCCACTGGCTGAACTGAGCAAACTACCCATGTGTTATGTCCTGTGTCATCCCAATTATGGGTTAACTTCAGACAAAGACCGAGAATCAATTTTACTTCTGAATTTCTGCAAGTTTAGCTCCTATGATGAAATTCAGCTCACAGTCTTTAGAATGAGTCCATTAAAAAAAACCACACCTAATCAGAGCACATTACAATAAAACATCCCAAAATGTCACATCAGAGAAAGGAGCAAAACTTAACACACTCATCAGCTGAAGGACAGAGAAGCCACAGATTAAAGCACACAAAGGAAATATTGTGGCTGGAATGTGAATAAGGTGCTCCAGAAGAGGAAACACATCGATACAACTCACATGGAATTGGAACAGTTGATGTTTACCCTGCAATCATGTAGGGTTACCCTATAACAGAGACATCACATCCCTCTAGGACAGCCCAAATGCCAGCTCCCAAATCCTCTGTCACGAGACCATGAGGATGTTGCTCTTCCCATTTCAGTAAATAATGAAGATACAGCTGAAAAGTCTCACCGTGGGAAGGGTTTAAACTCCTGAACAGTTGATTTCTAACCCAGTCTTGGAAGATAGTGTGGAATCTGTGTGTCCCACAGGACAAACTGACTTGTCACAGCAAGCAAGATCCAAAAAATGGATTCAACTACAGTGGTGGTTTTACTGGAAAACCTCTTAAATCAACAAAATCCCCAAATATTTTAAGCACTGCAAGGCTGACTTAGCTTTGGAAGAGGGGATTAATCAGGGGTGGTTTAAATCCCTTCACACTCCTTAGCTGTGCACTCAGCTTCCTGCAATGGCAGAGGGGCTGCAGTACTCAATTATTCCCCTGCACTTCCTTCCCCTACCAAAGAAAAGTTGGTACTCTGAGACACAATAAAACTTGAGAGAACGGGACAGCTTTTGATTTTTAATTAAAACAGTCTCAAAAACTTCAGTTGACAGAAGGTGCAACCCGAAGAGTTCCAGCTTCACAAGTGATACTATTAGCTCTCCTGCAATATCCTGCCTCAGAATTAATCAGACAGAGCTGATCTGGAATGAGACCTGGAGCTTCAGCTCCAATTCTATGCGAGAAAACTGATTTACAAAATGAGCCAACCTAATGTTGACAGGGGAAAAAAAAAAAAAATAATTAAAGCCAGCCAACCTCCTGCACCATATGGACTCGGGTTCATTTTCACTCATAGCCTAAGCCAGCATTTCACCCTTGCTCTTCAGTGCTGAAAGGCTCATCCATTAACCTGCTCCAAAGCCAGAACCCTCAGCTGATAAGGCTGTTCTCTAGTTCAGGAAGAGTTCTACAAGACCCCTCTTAGCTTGCACCAGAAAGAATCACTGGATCAGGAGCTCCTGGAGGGAAGCTGAGCAGGCTGGGGACTCACCAGTTTCTGGATTTCAAAGGTTGCTGTGGTTTGCCAGAACCCTCTGTCCTCGGGGGTTTCCACCTTGACCTCGAAGCCCGACGCCGTGGCCACGGCTGAGCCCTCCGGCCCCAGGGCCAGGGCCTGGATCCTCTGGTTGTGCTGGTAATGATGGATTGGCCCCCGCCCCAGCAGCAGGTTCCAAACGCTGACAGTTCCTGGGCACCAAAAAAGAACCAGTGGGGGTCATCTCAGGACTTAACGAGGCTTTCCCACAGCATTTAAAGGGGTGAGTTCAAATCCATGGCCTGAAAAAAAGGGAATGTACAGAGAGGAGACTGCAGGGCAGGGAAGCAGAACTTTGGGATGCTGTGCTGCCTCTGAGCCACAAAACAGGTTCAGGGGAAACTGTATGTGCTCTGGCCTTAAGCTGAAGGTTTAGAGCAGTTTTCTGAGGAAGAAATTCTTCCCTGGGAGGGTGGGGAGGCCCTGGCACAGGTTGCCCAGAGAAGCTGTGGCTGCCCCTGGATCCCTGGAAGTGTCCAAGGCCAGGTTGGACGGGGCTTGGAGCAACCTGGGATAATGGGAGGTGTCCCTGCCCATGGCAGGGGGTGGGATGAGATGAGCTTCAAGGTCCCTTCCCACTCAAACCATCCCATGAATCTCTGATTCCAGGCTCTGTTGCTCTCTGTGATTCCCTAATTTTTGACTTTCCAATAACAGGATCTACCCTGAGGAAGACTCCTTGATTTCCCTCACATTTCCATGTTTGGAGAAGATCAGAATAAACAGCCACCCAAATTTTTGTTCTACTACAAACACACCCTCAAGTACCACAAAAAACCACCAAGGGCAGACCCACGCTCAAATTTAAGTCACTTTGCTTTGCACCCAGAAAAGTTTTAAAAGTGAGGAATCCGAAGCTCTGCACGCACAGGTCAGGGATTTTAACACCATTTTCAACAGTTTACAACCAGCAGCAAAACTCCTCATCCTGATGCTGTGGGAAAACAGAAAATGCAGAAGAACTGGTGGCACGTGGTGTGATTTTGGGGGCTGTCCTGTGCAGGGCCAGGAGCTCGACTCGATGGTCCTTGGGGGTCCCTTCCAGCTCAAGAGATTCTGTGATTCAAAAAGAGTACAAATCCCAAAGGATACAGGAGTGAAGTCAAAACACAACATATTTCTGATGGCATTTTTCCCAGCAGGGACCCCCCATATTCTATTTAAAATGCTGCTGCATTAAAGCCATAATCTGAGTAAGAGCAACCCGAGGCAGTTCGGAGCGGATGAGGGAACAGAAGGGCTGGGTGGAACTGGAGCCTTCTGGGCCACCTTTGCACTGAATTAAGGGAGAAGCAATCTTGAGGAAGGGCTGGAGAAGCCTTCCCTCGACTCAGGCATTAATGATGAAATGATTAATGGCAGCTCTTCCTTCAAAGGAGACATAAAAGCCCCGACAGGCAGCTGGGGATGGGCACCGATGCCAGTGTGCAAACACCCCCCCCAGTCCCAGAGGAGGTGAAGCAAGAGTGTGGTAATGAAACTGCACATAGTGAAATGGTATCTAAATGAGTTTAAATTGATTTATGCTCGCTTTTGTAAAGATTATTTGGTATCTGGAAAGTGCTACCGATGTGAAATAATGCAGATAATCCTTAAGATCCCTGTCTAATGGCACTCCCCCTGAATATTTATGTTCCTCACCATGGGAATGAGCACCATAATGGGGACCATTTTTGTTTTATTAGGGATGAATATTTAAATTAATCTGCTATTTGCCTAAACAATTAGCTGCCTCTGTTTGTTTACACAAAGCCAAAACTGCAATTAGGCTTCCATCAAAAAGATAAGTCCCGACTAAAACTGTCCCGATGGAGCCGTAAGGGCTCGGAGCAGAACTTCCCAAAATTACTTCTTAGCATAATGGTAATTATGTTAATTGCTTGAAAGGTAAATAACTGCTGAACTGGGTTGGAAAACCAGACTGGGAGCTTGTATTGCTCCCACTTAGCCTAAAACCAGTTAACAAATCCAAATGGGCAGCACAGGCTCCCTCCCCTCTGCAGCACGACTGAGGCACCTCCCGGCCTGCCCTAAAACAAAGTCTCATCTCCAGGATAGAAAAAGGGGAGAAAACAGGTCAGAAACAGAGAGATCAACCCCTATCAGTGATAAAACCCTGTGGGGATCTCAGATCATGGATGTCAGACCTGGAATTTCTGGGCAGCCCATGGGTATCCCTGCCAAGCTCCTCCAGGCTGGAGGATTTTCAGTTTTGGTTTTGTAGAATATTTATCCCAGTTAAAAACCACTTTTCTGAGGGGGGAAAAAAGATGTTGATTTGCTTTCAGTGAAGCCTTTTGTTTACAAACATCTGTGATGAGCATTTCGCTGTTTTCAGCGGTGTATTAAAGGATGAAAGTTCTGGAAAATGCAAAAAAACCCCCCACATTGAAGTCAAAGAACCCTCTTCTGACCACAGGAGCAAACTGGGAAACCCAGAATTCAGAGTTCTGCTCTCTAATTTTGGGTAACAAGTCATTATTATTATTATTATTACTATTATTATTATTACTGCATGTCAAACATCACAAAAAGAGACAACGGTGGAAATGGCTCCTGCAATAATAAAATGGTTTCAAGACGGGTATTTTTGGTTGCAACCAGATGTTCAATAGCAAAATCTGTCCAAAATAGCACAAAATGTTATCAGGCAAGCACAGTGTGTGCAAAATCTGACACACAACATGGTGGAAACATCCCTGGTAATACCAAAAACCCGAGTGACAAATTCACATGTAATGAAGGAGTAAAAAGGAAAGTTTGTGGGATATCCTGAGTTGGAAGGGACTGACAAGGATCATCGAGTCCAACTCCTGCATGAGAGCAGGAAAACATTATCCAGCTTTCCACAGAAAAAGCACCACTCCACGGGATTTATCAAGAGGTAAAGCTACAGGTGCTACTCAGAATATTCTGCATTTCACTGCAGACACAGCCACATGTATTTATGAGCACACCAGGCTCTGCACCAGTCCATCACGTTTGTGTAAGAGCAAAAAAAACCCTCCACGTGACAGTTTAAAGTTATTAGTGTGGCAACATCAAAGAAATCAGGGCTAAGATTTACCAGTCAGATGAGATCACTGCTCTCCACAGTCCCTGTTCCTGCCTCCAGCACTTCATTTCCAAGGTAATTTCTCTGCTAAGGTGAAGTTCAGGTTGCAAACATTCACTGTCCCTTTATTTTTTTAGCACTGAAGCCTCAGAAGTGTTAGGAAGTCACTAAGTCAGGATCAGCAGTGTTGCCACAGCTCACTAAAATCTGTGGTTGTTCCAACTGAACTCCAACAATAACTCCCCAGAACGATTCAGGCTTTCCAGCTCGCTTAGATTTGGTCTTGGCTCAAGGAGACAAGGCAGTGCAACCACTGACACTTGACAGTCACTGCACCAGCCTTGTTGTTTATCCCTCTGTGTCCCAGATCAGACAAAGAATTCAACTTCTAATCCAATATATTGCTGAACTGTGGCCTGATGAAAGGTCCATTTATTGCAATTCGCTCCAGATTGGAAAGTATTTGGATAAAACACTGACCATGAGCCTGCTGACCCTCACAAAGTGCACTGTTGATCCTGACTGAACTCCAAACTTTACTCCAAATTTAGGAGGTATCAGCCTCTTGCTGTATCAAAGGTGGATGGCTGGAGGCTCTTCTCTCTCCACGAGTCTCCTCTTTGCAGCTGGGAGCCCAAAAGACATCCTCCAAGCTGCTTTTTTACATCTATTTTCACGTAGTGCAGGCAACACACTTACCACAGAATCAATAATAATAATAATAAAAAAAAAAGTATTTCTTTTCCTAGAAAATCCTCTAATCCTCCGTCGGGGAGGAGAGGCAGCACAAACACAGAGGCAAACAGAGTGAAATCTCATTTGTAAATATTACAGTGGCTGTGTTTGGCAGGGCAATAGAGGCCCCTCAGAGCTCCTCCTGAGCTGGGCACAGCAGAGGAGAGGTGCCCACCTGGGCTCCCTGCTCAGGGAGGGAGGGAGGCAAGGCTGGATCTCGGGGTGGAACATCCCAGCCCTGACCCTCATGACCCGTTGCATCAGCTCTTCCACATTAAGACAGGCATTTGCTGTCAGCTAGTGGCTGCTGTCAGCCTTGGGAAAGATGTAAAGCAGTTTACATGTGTATTATCTGAAAAAAAAAAACCAAAACCAAACACAAAGAAAAATAAGCAAAGACACGATTTTGTCGGTGCTGGAGCAGGGAATCCAAATCTGCTCATGGTTTTCACTTCAGCTTCTAATCACAGCTCTGTGGGAAGGCCAGAAGCTGCTTAATTCACATCACCTCCACGTTGTTCCTGTTTGAGAGTTGTGGTTTTGCCCTTTCTAACTTCATTTAAATGAAATAAAACTCTTTTTTGCCTTTTGAAAACACCTGGGAGTTGGACTCGATCCTTGTGGGTCCCTTCCAACTCAAGGTATTTTTTGACTTTATGACTCCTTACAGGAGGGTTTTTCCTTCAAACTGAGAAGGTGAATTTATCTCCTCATATTTTTCAGGCATATCATGAGCCTAAGAAGTACAAACAGTAAAAGAACTGAGGTGGAAATGAGCACCAGCCCGGAGTATCAAAACTTCTTGTGAATTTTGAGTTTTTCCCCAACCATTTCTAGTCAGAGGATTCACTTTACCCTCAGCAGATCTTTGGAGTTCCTTAACTAACTTTTTACATTTTATTTTGACTTCCAGCAGGTGCTTATGAGAGATCAGACCCCTGTGATAAGTCTTGTCCTCACATCACCATTACCACACCGTTTTCCTCCCAGTGTTGCCAGGTTTTATCTCCACCCCCCTCCTCACAGGGATTTCCACCCTGGACAGCCCCTCAGAGAAAGTACAGGCAAGACAGAGAGTATTTCATTCCCAACTTGGGGATGCAAGAGGCAGAATTCCCATGACTGTGGTGGGAAATCACACACCACCTACCCAAACCACATGTTTGCACCCACAGCCACCTATATCCAACGGGAATAAAGATCCTGCAGTGTCCCTCACTTCTCCCTTCCTCTGAGCCAGTCTGTCCCTGCTCCTGCTCTCCTAGGGCATGTCCTGCCACCAAACCCACCACTCCACTTCTTGCAAAGAGGGCACAGAAGGGACAACACCCCCCAGGCAGCTTTGAGGGCACCAGAATGGACAAGACAGCAGGTTTCCAGAAGTCCCAAAAAGGAGCAGTGCCAAAATTCCCCTCCTGGAGCCTGCCAGCAAGCAGGAGCACTGCTGATCCCACAGCAGCCACCTTCCTGTGCTCCATGGAGCTGCCCTGCAGCTTGGGAAGGACCACCAAGCCCTGCCAGTGGGTCTCCAAGCACTCCACAAAAGGCAGCAAGTGGGGCACCTCCCTGCTGTGCCTACATGAGGACGGACACGGTGTTTAAAGGGAAGAATCCAAAAAGGATGTTCTCTTGCTGCAGCACATTGTTCCCCAGTCAAACTATGAAACTCCAGAGCGCAGGGGGGAGAGCCATGGCTAAAGCAGACTGCTGTTTCCCAAAAGCTGTGGCTCCCAGCCAAAGCCAGGCAAGCATGGAGCAGATGGAGTCCTGGCAAGGCCTCTCCTGTCCCTGCATTAGCAGCATCTGCTCATTACCCAGAACCCTCGCCTGCTTTATCTAATGCTCCAGGAAAAAGCATTTTGATTTGATTCATTTCAGTTCGGTAACGTGCAACACAATTAGTGGTAAAATCAAACTGGAGGGCTGCCAGTGCTGACAATAGGAAACAAGGCAGAAGAAATATGAGGCCAGTGGGTTGGAATTCAAAAATCACAACTGTGGATCGAGTTGCCAAGTCCCGTTGCCCCAGGTGTACATCCAGTGCCCCCGCTGAGCGCTGGCACGGGCACGGGGAACTTCATTTGCTCCCCATCCATTTCCCTCTCATTTCCCTCTCCTTGCAGCTTGTTTCTTGCAGGTTGGCACCGCCAGAAACGCTCAGGAGCCCCAAAATTCCGCTTTTCCTTAGCGGAGTTACAAGCCCCTTTGGATGCGGGCATCCCGGCAAGGCAGAGCCTTCTCCTTGCTCCACTTCCCGTGCCTTGGGAAGTGTTTGCTGCTGGGGAAGAGGCAAAGCAGGGCTGTGAGGCAGGCATGGGGTGAGCAGGATCTGCCTGAGCTCTTCCCTGTGATCGGGTGCCAAGGACATCTCTGCGTGAGCTCTGCTGAACTGGGAGAAGCTGATGTTATCGGGACGAGTCTGGGAGCCAGGGATTCGACAGGGAAAGTCTAGACTGTGCCTGACAGCACCACCTCCAACACTACCAGATGGTTTCTCTGTGCTAGTCAAACTTACAAACAAAGAGAAAAAAGGGGAGCTGGAAAAGTACAACAAAGAACAATCAAACACATTATCTTCAAAGTCGTCCTCGCCCTCCCCGAATTCAAAACAACTCCCTCCACCAAATTGTAAATATGTGCTTCCAGCTTGCAGTTAGTAAACATTTCTAAAATGAGGCTTTAGAATTCCCTATTCCCATAGAAACTAATCTATTCTGACCAGGCTCCTCGAATCAGAGTCACTGCCATATCATGGAGCCTATTAAAATTTCTACCCAGAAGAAGAAAGGACGCCGAGCTTTATGCAAACTAGTTCAGTCACAGCGCTGACAACGAGGAGTATGACAGGCAAAAAAACCCAGACAAATTATTAGATTAGGCAGTGGGAAACTAGAAAACAAACAAAAGACCCTCTGCTAGTTGTTGTTTGGCAGACTGGACAAAAAGCCATCATTTTAAACTATCACTGTGTCATAATTCCTGTGACTCGAGTAAATAATCTTAGATGAGCGACACCAGATCTGCTGTTGTCAGAAAGTGTGGAAAAATCAACAATTTTTAGCACAGAAAACCATTCTAACGTGATCCAAGCTAGAAACACAGCTAAGGATGCTGATGATCTTAAAACACATACAGCATTTAATTTACTTTTAAAATAAAATTCGGTTTGCAGTATCCATCCCTAGTTTTGTTTTCAGCTGTAGAAATGCCAGGATCAAAGGCAGTATGTGTACAAAGCTCTCTAAGTATGCTTTATTTATACCCAGGAGATATTTTAAGTGTCAAATTACAGATTTTAAAGAAAGATGACAGGAGTTGATTCTGCCTGAGCCCCTCAGCTCAGGATCCCAGTCGGTCAGCACTGTCCAAACCTGACTTTTTTTATTTGCTGTTCCCACATCCAGAAGATGTTGGTCTTTGGCTCTTCTTGTCCATTATGTAAAACCTCTGAGGATATTTAAAACAATGCATACAACCAGGATTTTACGAGGGCTTCAGTAAATATTAGGTCAAGGCTTTTATTCTCTGTATCAAAGTATATAATAACCCACCACAAACAATACTTCAGTGCATCCACACACTGAGCCAAGAGGGAGAGGGATGTGGATTAATCAGACATGCAAGTTTACCACCATTCCCATAACAAAGCTCCACAGCACCCCAAGGGAGTTTTGGACAGAGGAGAAGGCTGGTGGAAGAATATTTAATATTTTTATAGCAAAACAAGTTATTTGCTTAAGATAGCTTGGCTGGACTACAGCCTGGCACTCAAAGCTTTGTGTAGCAGCTCCAGTAGGAATTAAAGCTCAGTTTTAATGGGTGCTGTGTTCCAATGCCTCCTAATGCATTTAGGGTTATTGGCCAACTTTCTCACATAAAAGCAAGAGTGTGTGTGTGTGTGTGTGTGTGTGTGTGTGTGTGTGGATACACAGGATTACAGACACACAAAAAGCTGAGCACAGCTGCTTCATTTTTGTAAAGCCTGGTTGTTGTTTTTTTGTTTTGGTTTGGTTGGTTTTTTTTCCCTGTCTTTAATAGGGAGGAGAGTTGTGGTTCCTCACCGTCCTCGTGAGCTGCCACAGCCAGGGAGCTGTTTATCCTCACAAAGGAGACGTGTGGCCGCGGGCCAGCCTCGCCAGCGCCGGGCACGGCTTCCAGGATGGGGGCTGTGTAGTCCCAGGTGCGAGTGTCCCACAGCCTCACTTCTCCTGAGGTGTATCTGCAAAAGAAGGCTGTTACTCATCCCAAAGCATCTGACAGGTAGTGCAGGACAAGGGAGGAAGAAACAAAAGGTGTCTTAAAACCCAACACCATTTACAGCTCCTGGACTGATCCCCTGTGAACAAGCCCATCAACTTTGCTCATTTTATTCCCTTTTATTGAATGTGGCACCAAGTCTACCAAGACAGGTAAATTGGAGCCACACGACTGAGCTACCACAGGTTACCAACTCAATATTAACATGCAAGGAGAGAGGGCTCAGCAGAAAGGAGAGGAGCTGCAGAAGGGTGGAAAAAACAGTGTCTTAAAACCCAACACCATTTACAGCTCCTGGATTGATCCTCTGTGAACAAGCCCACCAACTTTGCTCATTTTACTCCCTATTTATGAATTAAAGCTACAAAGAGAGGTAAATTGGAGCTACAAGAGCCACACAACTGAGCTACCACAGGCTACCAACTCAATATTAACATGCACTGAAAGAGGGCTCAGCAGAAAGGAGAGGAGCTGCAGGAGAAGGGAGGAAGAAACAAAAGGTGTCTTAAAACCCAACACCATTTACAGCTCCTGGACTGATCCTCTGTGAACAGGCCCATCAACTTTGCACATTTTACTCCCTGTTATTGAACTAAGGCTACCAAGACAGGTAAATTGGAGCTGTGAGACCCACACAACTGAGCTACCACAGGTTACCAACTCAGTATTAACATGCACTGAAAGAGGGCTCAGCAGAAAGGAGAGGAGCTGCAGAAGGGTGGAAAAAACAGTGTCTTAAAACCCAACACCATTTACAGCTCCTGGATTGATCCTCTGTGAACAGGCCCATCAACTTTGCACATTTTACTCCCTATTTATGAATTAAAGCTACAGAGACAGGTAAATTGGAGCTACAAGAGCCACACAACTGAGCTACCACAGGTTACCAACTCAGTATTAACATGCAGTGAAAGAGGGCTCAGCAGAAAGGAGAGGAGCTGCAGGAGAAGGGAGGAAGAAACAAAAGGTGTCTTAAAACCCAACACCATTTACAGCTCCTGGACTGATCCCCTGTGAACAAGCCCATCAACTTTGCACATTTTACTCCCTATTTATGAATTAAAGCTACAAAGAGAGGTAAATTGGAGCTACAAGAGCCACACATCTGAGCTACCACAGGCTACCAACTCAGTATTAACATGCACTGAAAGAGGGCTCAGCAGAAAGGAGAGGAGCTGCAGGAGAAGGGAGGAGGAAACAAAAAATATCTTAAAACCCAACTCCATTTACAGTTCCTGGAATGATCCTCCCACTGGTCACTCCCTCTATGTACAAATCCACCCACTTTTGCTCATTTTATTCCCTTTTATTGAGTGTGGCACCAAGGCTACCAAGGCAGGTAAACTGGAGCTGTAAGAGCCACACAGCTGAGCTACCACAGGTTACCAACTCAGTATTAACATGCAAGGAGAGAGGGCTCAGCAGAAGAAAAGGTGATCAGTAACAAGCCCAAATTACATCATGGCAAAACTTCAAACTGCCTCTTTCCAGTCCTTAAAGATTTGTGACTGTGGTGGTGCCAGGGAAAGGCTGTTGAATCAGAGCATTTATCCAAGGACATACAAGCACCCACCCAACCTACTGCTCTTTATAGAAAGAAATTTCTCAATGCCTCAGCAACAGAGCAGATTTACCTATGTCTCTGAAGACTAATTAATTAATTCAACTAAGCGTTGTCTTTAAAATTGAGGCTTTTATCTTCGCAGAAGGCTCACCAAAATATCACAAAAACTGTACTTTAGCATCAGTTTGTCAATGAGAAAATGAAAAAAGAACGAAACTTCTCAGATAAAACTGAATATATCCAAATGAATGAATGTTCAGCAAGCAAGAGGTTGACTGCTCTGGGTCACCTAAGCCCACATAACATATTATTAGAGGAAAAAAAAAAACACTGCAGGCAAAACAGAGGAGAAGCTTCTTCTAGAACTGGTCAAAGACCACAGTTCAACAGCCATTTGGAACAGTTCAATAATTACTTAGATCAGTTTTGACAGAACTGTGACAACACTGTCAGAGGCTCACTCTTTTTCTGCCATAGATGATACCTGGATTCTTTTGGAAAATCAAAGGTGCTTCCTCCTCTGTCGGATTTGTTGTCACATCCTGACTTTTTGGGGGAAAAGTGTGACAAAAGAATGATTCTTACAAACCCCCAAGGTCTGGTGGTTAGGAATGGCTGTCTGGTGGTTAGGAATGAGGAAGATCAGAGAGTTATTTACACAGGAGGGGAAGGACAGTGGTTCACAAAGGTTTAGAGGGTGCTGGGCTTGCACTCAGGTACCCAGTTCCCTGGGCAGGGCCACGCTCTGGATCCAGGTGCTCTGGATCAGGTCACTCCCAACAGCTCTGGGTGAAAATGCTCCAATTTATACAACTAATTCAAGTGCCCAAGGGGGAGGTGAAACCTGTCAGGCAGAGAGACACAGGGATGCACATGAATCCTCTGCACTGCCCAGGAGGGGAGGGGAAGGGTGTCCTTGTCACCTGGTGCCTCTGCCGGGGCTTTACAGGGCAAGACAGAAGGAAATGGGAGAACAGGGTGGGACAGCACTTCTCCCTTTTCCTCCTTCTCCAGAATCCTGCTTTCCTTTCCAATTTACAGCAGCACCACTTTAAAAAAAAGGACAGATCAAGCAAGAAGCTTCCCCAAAGCAAAATGTCTCCTGTTGGATCGGACAAGCAAGTCCAGATCCGTTCACAACAAATATCTTCAGTCTGAAAAACTGGGAAGGGCTCGTTCCAATTTAAATTTGGGAGATAAAACACAACAGGGCAGGGAACTGCACGGATCTGCTGCAGTCCCCTTCAACACCAGGCACACAAGACATTCTGGAAGCATTTTAATTTTGAGCTGATTTTCGTTTCCTTGTGTTAGCAGTTGGTTGGGGTCGTGTTTTCAAGCTTCTCCTAAATGCCAAGAGCAGCAGATTATTCCCAAGGGAAGCCAAAATTCTCTTGTCCCTAAGTGACCCTGAGAAGTGAATTTCGAGGGAGACATAAAATACTGGTAGAATTGACAGAACTGACAGAATGTTTGTTGTCATCCCTAAGTAAATAAGGAAGAACAGCATCTCCTCCTAGTGTAGCTCTCACATAGTCCAGTCAAGGGATATATAGATATATTTCTTATTTATAAAAGGAAGACTGAGATGGAGAAGACAATGCCAAGAATAGAGGAGAGGCACAGGGCTGGATAATCCCCTGAGCTCACTCCATCTGGGTTCCCTACACAGCACAGAACACGAGGGATCCAGGGCTCAGGACACTCTACCAAGCACAAAAAATAATGCTGCAATTCTGGGATTAAAAATCCAACACCACAGCACCACGGTAAATGCTTAAATTAATTTTATCTCAGAATTCAACCATGTCAAAACTTAGTTTTGAGCTGTTCTTTGCTCATGAAGAACCACCTGTAGGCTGAGCTCAAGCTGGAACAGAACCAAACGCTTCTGCCCAGCAGTTTGACATCAATTTGACCCAAATTCTGACGTGCTGCTGCTGGGACCTGGCTCTGCTCAGGGGGCTCTGCATCAGCCCACCCTGCAGCCCCCTCATCCTCACTCCTCTGTCTCCCAAGATGAGCACGTGCTGGAGAGCTCTCACTTCTGAACCATGAAACCACTCTGCTCTCCCACCTGCAGCCAGGCCCTGTGAACACACGAGCTCGTCCCAGCACCCAGGGGTGCTCCAGGGGGTTCAGATGCTGCAGAACGACCCAGGACAGGGTCCTGGACACGGTGCTCCCTCCAGTTCTGTCATGGCAGAGAACAGGGAGCACTGTCTGTGCTTGTCCCAGCACCCAGGGGTGCTCCAGGGGGTTCAGATGCTGCAGAACAACCCATAACAGGGTGCTCCCTCCATTTCTGTCGTGGCACAGAACAGGGAGCAGTGTCTGTGCCAGGAGAACCCTGCAAGCACCCAAACCTACCTTCAGGTGTCTGTCCAGCAATCCCAGCACTCCCAGCACAGGACAAGTGCTCTGTGTTCCTCAGGACTAAACCTTCACTGCCCCATCCTTCCTGCATCCCTCTTACTCCATTTCCCACTCCACACCACCATTCCCACCCTTCCCAGCCAATCCCTCAAGGATTTGGAGGGGTGTCACAAGACCATGCTGGAAACATGAGTGGAGATCTAGGACTGGGCAGGGGACCAGTGCTGGGAAAATGGGAGACACAAACTATCTCCCCACGGGCCCCTTTCCAGCACACACTGGGACTGGACCAGCACTGACCTGGAATGTTTTCAAACCCAGGTGAATCCAGTTCAGAACTAAGAAAATCTGATGGTTCAACTCCCCCAGCTTTTAATGCTGCTGTAAAGAGCAGCACACTTTCAATTTGTAACCACAACAAAAGGCTTTTAAACTATTAAAGCGTTGCCTTGCTGTAAAAATAAATAAATAAATAAATAAAAAGGCTGCTCTATGGCAGATAATTGGCAAATCTGCCCTGTCAGTGTAGATGGCTGGGGAGAAGAACATGCTGCACTTCACAGAGCCTGTTTCTAGGTAATTTCAGGATTTCTATTCATTTCTATCACAACTTTTACATTTTGCCCTGAAAATCTCTTTTGGATTACTCAATGAAATAACCACAGATGCAAGCCTTCTGCCCAAGAACATGCACAGTACTCCAAACCCATTCACTCACTGATATTTCTACCAGGATGGTTATGAAATGCTCACTTAGCTCTCTGCTGGAGTGAAAAAGAAAACCCCAAACAACTCAAAACTCCCTTCCTGTTTAATCCAACAATGAATACACTATTTGCTCTGATACCAACAGCACTCAGCTGCTGTGTTTTCCCCCTGACAGGTGCCATGAGATGGTTATTGCAGTGGCAGGTAAATACTTCAATATCTCACATAAGACACTTGCACTGAGAAAACCCAACAAACCAACCCCAAAACCTAAAATAAGCCAACAGAAGAGACCACACCTGCTTTACTTCATT